ATAGCCTCCTTCCAAAAAGAGGCATCTATGAAAGACATGGCTTCCTTGTAGGTATTTGGTTCTCCTTCTACTACAAATGTATAGAACCTTTCTCCAAAATTCTTCTCTATTCGGGGTCTTTTACTTCTTCTAAGTTCAACTTGAGATTCAGGTTCTTTTTCGGTAGATAACTAGAAGAAGGTTTCTCGTAAGTAGAGTTTGATTGTTTATCAACTATATGGTGTGGAATTCTTGTTTTAAATGGAAAAATGTTTTCAAAAAATGTAGCGTCTCTAGACTCAATTATTGTATTATTTGATATTTCACTAATTTTAGAATTAAACACTAAAAATCTATTAGCATTACTATTTTGGGCATAACCTAAGAAAATAACATCCACTGTTTTAGGTCATATTTTCTTTTTCTTAGGTTCAGGTATAGCCACCTTTGCTAAACCCCCCCCCCCCCCCCACACTCGTAGGAATTTAATATTAGGTGTTCTTCCTTTCCAAATTTCATAAGGGGTCTTTTCATTATCTTCAATAGTTACCCTATTAAGTATCAAACATGTAATGAGTATTGCTTCCCCCCACAAGTTCTCGGATACACCAGAACTAGTTAACATAGCGTTTACCATGTCTAATAAAGTCCGATTTTTCCTTTCTGCTACACCATTAGATTGAGGTGAATAAGGGGCAGTAACTTCATGTATAATTCCACTTTCTTCACAGAATGTACCTAGAACATTCCATTGATACTCTCCTCCTCTTTCGGATCTAAGTCTTTTAATTTTCTTCTCTAGTTGATTCTCCACTTCATTTTTGTACACTTTAAATCTTTCAAACACCTCATCCTTTGTTTTAATTAGGTATACATAAGAATATTTTGAACAATCATCTATAAATGTCACAAAGTACTTTTTCCCACCTCTAGTTGGAGGTCTATTTGAATCACATACGTCACTGTGAATTAATTCTAAAAGTTGGGTATTTGTTTTAACAGACTTAAAATGTTTTCTAGGTTGCTTTGCTTGAACATATACTTTACATTTTTATTTCAAATCAACCACAGTCTTTGGAATTAAATTTAAATCCATTAATCTTTTAATTTTCTTCAAGTTTACATGTCCTAATCTTCCATGCCATACATCACAAGATTCAACACTAAAAACTTGAAGAGAATTCTTATTAACTTCAGAAATTACATTCATCTTAAACAAACCTTCGGTAACATAAACTTTTCCAATAAAAATATTATTCTTAGTAATCACTATTCTATTAGACTCCATTACAACTTTATATCCTTGTTGCACTAAGGACGATCCACTAATAAGATTTCTTCTCACTTCAGGAACATGTCGCACATCCTTGAGAACCAAAGTCTTTCTAGAAGTCATCTTTAGCTCTATATCTCCAATTCCAAGTACACATGCAACTGAGTCATTCCCTAGAGTTACACTTCCTCCACTTGAGTTCTGAATTTTTTTTAAAGCAATCACGATCAAAACATACATGTACATTAGCACCAGAATCTAACCACCAATCCCTGTTGTGGTAAGTGTAATTAATAGTTGGATTGAGATTATACCTTAATGCATTTTCATTTGAATTTTCTTGATCCACTAATACATTAACTTGAGCTTTGGAACCTCTCTGATTTTGAAAAGACTTATGCCTGGGCTTGTACACTTCTGTTTTCTTGTAAAAGCAATCCTTCGCTTTGTGATTGATCCTCCCACAGACATAGCAATGTTTATCCTCATTGCCCTTGGTATTTTTGAATTTATTACCTTGATTATTTTGGACATTCTTATTAAAATGTTTGTGGTGGTTGTTATTTCTAGTTGTTCCTTTAAAGTTCCTCCCTTTAGGTCTAAAGTGATTCCTATTGTTATTAGAATTACTTGTATTTTCAACTAAGTTTACTTTAGTTGTCTTTTCATTTTCACTTTGGACACTTGACCTATGTTTTTCTTCAACCCTTAGTGAACTAATTACATGGGTCAAGGTTAGATCTCCTTGTTTATGTCTAAGGGATCTAGCAAAATCAGACCAAGAGGGTGGTAATTTTTCAATAAGACATGACACTCTAAAGTCCTCACTTAACTTAGTTTCTTTCCTTTCCACTTTTCTAAGTAACTCTTGAAATTCATGGATTTGATCACTAACCCTTTTATTTTCCACCATCTGATAGTTATTAAAGTTTGAGACTGCAAATCGCTCTACACCAGCATCTTCAATTCCATATTCTGCTTCTAAGGCATTCCAAAGGTCTTTGGTACTACTAGTGGTATGATAGACATCATAAAGGTGATCAGATAGTGCACTTAAAATTCTATTGTGGCAATGAAATTCAATTTGTTCAGGATTTAACCATGAGGACAACTCTAAGTTACCTTGAGATTCTCATGTAAGTCCTAAGACAGTCAACCAATATTTTATTTGTTTTTGCCACCTTCTAAAATTCGCACCACTAAACTTTTTCGGTTTAACAGTATTAGCCTCTTCTAATTTAGACATATTCATGTTTCCTCAAAAATACAAAGGGCAAGTCAAGATATATAAATCTGTTATATGGAAACTAAAAGAAAGATGTCACTATATAATTCTAAAATTTTTTTTTTTTTTTAAAAAATAAATAAATAGAATAACTTCCAATTCAAGTAACAGTGAAACATACAATAATAAATTATTTGTATTCTACACAAGACATACAATAAATTTGAAACACAGTAAAAAATAATTAAAGAAAATTATTATTATTAAACAATACTGTTTAACTTTCAGAATGAGATATCTTCAGAGAAAATAAAATCAATACACAATCTCTTTCTAATTTAAAATTACCCACTAAAACAAACTAGTTAAATTAGAAACAATTTATGTAATATGCAAATAACAATTTATAAAGTAACAATCTCCTATATGGTAACGATTCTATCAGTAACAATTTATTAAAGTAATCTATCAGTTCATATAAAAAAGGAATATGTAAACAATCAGATATATATATATATATATATATTTCCCGCAACAATCATAAGCGAACAATATATATATACTATACTATTTATATTGATCGCAACAATATATAATATATTCACGGCAACAATATTTATAATAAATTACGGCATCAACAGAATAATAAATTACCGAATTGAAATAATAGAATATATATAAATATATATATATAAATATTTATATATATATATATATATATATATATATATATATATATAAGCACTCAACAATTTAGAGTTCAAAGACTTTAGATTGTTATAAATATTGATTTACAGATTGTAAAATACTTCTATTTATAGAATGAAAAAGATGCTTTTAAATAAGAAAGTAATTATAATAAAACAATTAATATTTAATAGTAATTAAACAACAAATATAATTCTATTAAAATTTTTGAAGTCTCCCTTACGTGCAAGTAATTATGATCCACCAAAGACTCCAAGATACAACTCCAATGGTTCCCTATGTGTACGATCACAGAGAAGCTTTCACCAAGTTTTATGTTACATTGCCCCAGAGAAATAGAGAATATATATATATATATATATAAAATAGGAGTAGACTGTTTGATTACAGAGAGATATAATTGCAATAGGTTTTCTGAGAGTAGAAGAGGACTTGATTTTTTTATTGAACTCTCGCTAATCAAAAACCTAGATATTAATAGAATTTTATCACGTATTTTCATCAATAGATGCGCCGTTTGGCTTAACAGTTATAATATTTATTTTAATTTCTATTAATTTAATTTTTATTATCTACAGTTAATTAGTTAAGGACTTTTGAATTTCTAACCAATAGAAATTCAAGAGTTGGAAGTTTTAAAACTTCTCTAATAAGTCTAACATTCAGTGCTGTCAAACATAACATAAATTTTTTTTTTTTTTTTTTTAAATAATAATACCATCAAGAGAGTCTAGTCCTTTCATAAGAAGGGTTACTTATTAAAAAAAACTTGTTTAACTTTTTACCTATCACAAAATTTGTCTCTAGAGGTTTTTCAAAATTAAAACTTAACACACTAAAATAAATAGAGATCTGAATGGAACTTGTATTCAACATTCTTACTATGACTCTTATTTTGCTTGTCACACTTGGATCATAAGGAAAGCACACTTGGATCATAAGGAAAGTGCACGTGAAACATCATGAAATAGTCCTCTATTAGATTGGTTCAACTATATATAAAACTAAAAGAAACATTCGTAATGCATATCTTGAAGGACATGGCTGCCCTATATTGCTAACTTAATTAAATTATTCTTCTTCTTTTTTTTTTTTTTAAACAAAACGTGTTTTCAAAACAACATCTCATAAGAAATTGACAACAATGAAAAACTAATTGGGATGAGTATCCAAAAAAAAAAAATGAAAAAGAATATATATATGATTATTAATGGAGTAATTTTCAGTAAGCGATCACATATGTGAGACACGTGGACGATCAATGGTTACATTGTATTAACACCCGTCCAAGCTGATTCGATTGTCCAATCAAAAATGAAAATAAATATATTTTTAATAATATTGTCTCTGTCATGAATTTATGCAAAAGTCAAAGGTAAAAAAATTGTCCTTTTAACTTTTGAAAAGTTTCCCAATTTTATAACATTGCCCACAAAACAGCAAAACAAAATCTCAATCAGTTCGAGAAGCATTTTATTATATTCCATTAATGGCACCTTAACAACCGTTAAATTTTGAAATAATCCCCGACCCGTCCAAGCTGATTCGATTGTCCAATCAAAAATGAAAATAAATATATTTTTAATAATATTGTCTCTGTCATGAATTTATGCAAAAGTCAAAGGTAAAAAAATTGTCCTTTTAACTTTTGAAAAGTTTCCCAATTTTATAACATTGCCCACAAAACAGCAAAACAAAATCTCAATCAGTTCGAGAAGCATTTTATTATATTCCATTAATGGCACCTTAACAACCGTTAAATTTTGAAATAATCCCCGACCGTAGATAAAAAAATTATGACCGTTAGACGCTCCCCATCCCCCACAAATTCAAATAGACATCATCATCGATACTAAAACCCCATAAACAAAGAAAAGCAACAGAGTAAAAAGCAAACAACGATAGAAAACAAACAAGTCAGTCAAAGAGCATTTCAAAATTCAATTACATATATCATCATCTTTCTTCTTCAATCTCTCTCTCATACTCTGCAATTTCTTTGTTCTTTGATTCCACAGATGTCGAAGATGAGATCGGATCGCAAACCTCCACTTGCTGCTGCTGGCTCTCCTATGCGCCTTCGTCCTCGCCGCGTTCTACGCTCCACTCCATGCACCGTCCAAACTCCACCCGGTATGTTACAAATCCGAACAAACAGATCAAAATACATCTTCTACGATCAGAAAGTCAAACCCTAGTTTTATTTATTTATTTATTTTTATTCTTGTTAAATATAATCACTATAACAGGTTCTTTAACGAAAACCCAATTGCCGATTCGTTCTTGGGACCTCGAAGAACCGGAGCTTCGTCCAGAATACCGTACGATTTCTTGCGAATTACAAGCTTTGGCGAAGATGGTGCAGAGCGAATTTGGAAACCCTAGTTTGGGTATTGCCGGATTTGCAGACCCTGTTTCGACTCCTCTGTTCGAGAGAGGTAGGTTTTACGATGAGTACTCTGCGAGAAGGAATGAGAGGTTGAAGAGAAAGAAGGGTGATACAGGGGATGAGAAGAAGAGCAGTGTGTATGATCTGGGTGTGAAGGTCGGATCGGTGGCGAAGAGGAGGGACTCGAAGAGGTTCGAGGGGTTGAGGCAATCGGTACCCTCTACTCCGGTGACTGAGCGGAGTGAGAACCCGAGGTATTTGCTGAGAAGCAGTACCAGAAAGGAAAATCAGAAACCGCCTTTGCCAGTGAATGCTGAGAAATCTGTGGGCGTTGGCGATCGGAAAATCGGAGCCAGAAGGGTTTTGAGAAAATGAATTTTCTCAAGTGGGTTCATGGGGAAAGTTATGGTAGTATATAGTTTTTCCTCTGTTTTTTTTGGGTGAATTGGATTTGTGTTACTTTTGGTTAGTTTGTATGTTCTCTCTGATTCTGGTTTTTGCTAGCATTTGTTTGAATGGGAAATTAGGCACCTAAGTGGTTCAGAATATTTGAATTACAGAGATGTTTTCTAACAAAATTACTATATTTTGGTTATGGGAATTTGGAGTCATATGCTCATCATGGCTTAAATTAATTGATGGTATATGGTTGATTCTGCCTCTGTTTTGTATAATTTACTGAACATTTTTTTTTTTTTTTCCTTCCTAGTTGATACTCTCACACACATGTCTCTTCTGAGGCTTGATCTTTTGACCTCCCTTTAGAAAGTAAGAGCCTGATACCACTAGGTCACTAACCCGTTGGTTAAGAACATCTTTCAATCATTACCTTTGACCAACATTGTTGTCATCCATTTAATTGCCAAGGCATTTTATCAATCACTTAAGAGGCCCAAATGGCATTGAGAAGCTAAAAACCAGGGGTGATCTTAGTCAGAATACATTGTCATATTGATGGTTTTTTTATTTTTTATTTTTTATTTTTTTTAGTTTTTTTTATTTACGTCGTAGAAAACCCCGGATATGTACAACCGCCCACAAAATACACTAATCGGTTAAGTTCAAATTTGATGTCCCAGAGAGAGTAGAACCATTGGAGCTAGTCCGTGCGGTCAAGATTGATGTATTTTGCCAGTCAAAACACCCATTATCTTAGGGTGGAGAGAATGAGAGATCATACTATTGGGCTAAGATGCCCTTAGGTTATTTTGCCGGTTTTTGCAAATGCCATTTTGCACATTTAGACTAGAGTGTTATCATCAGATAGAATAGAGAGTGTTATTATCAGAAAGAGGTGACTTAATCTCAGTGCATCATTTGGACTTGCAATGAATTAGCAAAACTAAATTTAGATCTACTACTTGTATCTTCTGTCTTACTGCTACAAATTCAGCTTCAGAATGTGCGTCATGTCTACTTTCTGATGTGTAGAAGTGTTGGCCCTGCCTAAATATTGGCCATTATATATGGTGCTTCTTCAGCTACTCAAAGGAATATGTTGATCACAACTAGTCATCCACTAAGAAGTCTCAGGATAACTAGCAGAACCTAGTATGGTAAATTGCCACTTCAAAGGGACATCAGGAGAAAGAAATCCATCTTTATCAGGTGATCATTTATGATTTATAAAAATAAAAAAATAAATAAAAATTCACAAATCAGAGATTACCGGTGTCCTTAAACATGAAATGTGTTATGCCCCAATCCAACCATCACCAGAAAGGGTGGTAAATTGTTGCATATGAAAATTTGCCACTATATATTTGAAGAAATGTACATAAATCAAATAAATGGATATATCAGTGTTTCTCAACTCAACACCAAATTGTGCCCACACACCACAAAAGTGCAAATGTATGATTTTTTATACAAAGGAAGTAACTTATGACAACTGATACAAGGCCAAAAAAAAAAAAAAAGTAATAATATTGACAAGCTATAAAATGTCATTGCTATATTTATTTTATTATCAATGACTTCTAAACAGAGCAAAAATGGATGATTCTCGAATAATATCTGCCTCCACTTTAAGTTGTGACCAGGAGATACAGAAGGCCCTTCACATATTCCACTATTTCAGATCCTCCAAGCTTTGAACTTCCGTAAACTCTATCAACAAAAGTAATTGGAACCTACAGGCATGGCAATTTAGAAAAAAGAAAAAAATTAGGCTATAAAGAAAAAGTGAGGCAGCAATTATTCAGTGTATGCAGAAAATAAACTTGAATGTAACTAAATTTCAAGTACATATCAAAAACTAACTAGTGCATATGCAGCCAAAAATTTGCACAGAAAATCTACGATTTATAAATCAAACCGTGCTTCGGATAGTATCTCAGCAACTACTTAACATGCAGTAGCTCATTCTGCATTTGATGGGTTTACCATCATCTAGGCAATCTACTCTAAATCCTGGAAACTGTATATAGGACAATAGATTTTATTATTATTATTTCGAATGAAGGCATAATAAAGCTCAAAATCCATTATGGTTATAGACCAACACCCTTTCAACCACCAAAATTTTTCATAAGATGAGACATTATTCAGACACAGCATCCCCTTCAGTCACTATAATTGATGAAACCCAGATGATCTATTGACTGACTTGACATAATCTAACACTGCATAGACCGCTAAGCAGTGGATTGAGTGTTATTTCCTCCATTCCCCAAGTGTGGGTGGAGGGTTTGAGTCCTAATAGGGCATCATGCGTGTCTGTGTTGTAGTTGTCCACATAATAATAAGAAGAATAAAGCATTGTACTCTTCACATGAACGCTTTGAAAAACTGCCGGCCATAATAGAGGCATCAACAGCCTTTTGATTAAATATAAAATTCAGACATCAATCATCCAGGGTTGACCAACATTGGCAATTACTTCACATAATGACACTATTGTCCTGGGGTCACTTTTGCAATAGTGACATTGAGCAAAATCTAAAATGAAGCTATAAGATGTGCATGATTATACATGTAAGGAGTAGAGACAAATATTAAACAAATTAAAGAATTTTGGTTAAATTTGCTAATTGTCTTAATGATTGATCCATATGGCCATTGAGCCATAAAAGGATTGTAGTAGGATTTAATTTATTATTGAGGGGTAGTATTGTCCTTTTCTCAGTTTATTAGTTTAGGTCTTATTATATTATTCTGTATTGTATGCCTTTTTTTTTTTTCTTTTTTTTTTTTTTTCTATGATGATTCCTACACAGCAATTTCCTCTCCTCTTATTCACTATTCGGTACTGTTAGAACAAATCTTGACATGGTATCAGAGAGCTAGGTTCGATTGTGGGAATCACATCACACCTGTTAAGCGCCTCTATTCGTCACTCCATCACTCTCGCATCTCAGCAATCGCAAACCCTAACTGGCGATTGCAATATTGCAGAATTCAACTCCAGTAGCATCAACTCTCTCAATCTCTGCTCATCATTGCAGTTTGATTTTGTTTGAACTCAGCAAATACTAATTGATATCACCTACAACTTCGCACCAGCAGTCAGATCGCATCGCAGCAGACTTCGCTTATTGATGTTGCCCAATTGAAACTCTAAATTTGCAATCGCAACTTTGGTTCTGGTTTGTGAATCACAGCTGTCGCATTGTTCTCTTCGTCACACAATATCACAACGCAATAGCACCAACGATCATTTATTCCTCTCACTCTCTGTTCGCAATTGCATTGTCAGCACAATCATATCACATTGTCTGTCAGTTCATATCTACTCTTACTACTGTTCACTGTGCTGCAGTTCTCCGTATTTTGCGCTATCATCAGGTACTTTACATCAGAGTTTGTTGCTTTCCTCCACTTCTTCTTTGGAACTTTGAGCTTTTTCTGATTCTGACTGCGCCGGGATCCAACCGATAGTAAATCCACTACCGGCGTATGTGGTTTTTCTAGTTGATTCTCTCATCTCCTGGAAAAGCAAGAAGTAGACAGTTGTTGCTCGCTCCTATGCTGAAGCTAAGTATCGTGCCATGGCTGCTACTTCAGCAGAGATAGTTTGGCTCCGATGGTTGCTTGGTGATATGGGTGTTCCTCTTTCTGTTCCTACTCCCATGTATTGTGATAACAAGAGTGCCATTCAGATTGCACACAACTCTGTCTTTTATTAGCGCACAAAGCATACTGAGATTGATTGTCATTCTGTGCGCCAACACCTGCAACTTGGCACTATCTCTCTCCCACTTGTTTCTTCTACTTCTAGGCAAACTGTCGATGCTGGGTGTAGGATTTATTTGATATTGAGGGGTAGTATTGTCCTTTTCTCACTTTTTTTGTTTAGGTCTTATTATATTATTATGATTAGTCTTGTACTTTTTTTTTTTTTTTTTTTTTTGTTATGATTGAATACACAGCAAGTTCCTCTCCTCTTATTCACTGTTTGCTACTGTTTGCATAAATCTTGACAAGGATAACCTCTGAGACTTATCAAGTAAAAAAGGTACAGTGAAAATAAGCAAGTTGCATCCACAACTTGGCTGAAAACAGCTGTTACAGCCCTCCATAGCTCACAAATCAATTTGAAAGCGTTAAAACTACCTACACTTTAACCACCAAGTTGCATGCTCGTGTTCAGATTACCACCAGAAAAAGTAAGGGAAAAAGAAAGAATTTATGGGGAAAAAGAACTCCAGAAGTCAAATTAACATAAAAAAAAGTTGGTAGCTCACAAGTCATCAACCATGACCATTAACGCATAAAATAAAAAATGTAACAATACCTCTTCAATTTGGTACCCTTTCCTTGAAGCCCTAACTATCATCTCCATCTGAAAAACGTACCCCTTACTAACGCAAGAGCTTATGACATCTTCAAGCACAGATTTCTTGTAAAGTCTTCAAACAAGCGACAAAAATGTTCAATTTCTAAAATGTTGAAAATGAGATGAACAAGCAGTTTAATATCATAAAATATTTAGCTCACCGGAAAGAGCCAGTCAAATCTGATACACCAGGCCAAAGAAGTGTGTGTGCAAGGACATTAGCTCCTCTACTCGTCAATTTGCGCATAAGATTCCACCCATGCACGCCACCGCCTTCGACATATCGGGTTCCAGTAACTATACTTGCACCAGTCTCCAACTGCTTCCTACAAAAATTATTGGAGAAACTGAGCTAAGAAGAAATTGGAATCACTAAGCTTATGAAAAGTATAACATGACTCCAGGCCTGATTCCACTTTCTTACTTGATGAAGCTTGGCAGGTATTTTGGCTGTGAAACAAAAACCAAAAAGAGCAAATGAATTAGATCTTGAATAAGATGGCAAAAAAAAAAAAAAAAAAAAAGACAAATCTTTGTAGTAAATAACTGTCACAAGCAGATCTGACAATATGTAAATAGGCCCACAAAATGCATATCCCAAAGGAAAGCCCCCATAAAACAATTGGGAAACACTTGAAGGATTAACAAGTCGCCTAAGATGCTCCTAATTGTCAGGCCTATCAACTACTTTGTTATATTTTCAACTTTTTTCGCAACGTTTTCTTTGATTTCTGGATGTTAAATATCATGGTGTAGGTTACTTTGTTAGTATTGAAAAAAAACATGTTAGAGCAAAATTCCATAATAGTTTAAACAAATCTATCAATTAATTGAAAGAGTTAGAAATTTTTTCATGATAGATAGTATACTTCAGAAGAG